TCTACCTTTGGCTCAGGTCATGATCCAGGGTCCTGGGATCAAGCCCCGCATCAAGCCCCGCATCGGGCTCCCTGCTCAGCAGGAAGTCTGCTTCTCCCTCTCCCACTCCCCCTGCATGTGTTCCCTCTCTCACTGTGTTTCTCTCTGTCAAATAAATAGATACAATCTCTTAAAAAATAATAATATTAACAATATACTAATAGTGGTAATCTTAATTCAGATACTGACTTGAAATGAATAAGGTAATGCCAGTACACTAACGCAGCCACACATTCATTCCTTTCTTCATCAAACATTTATTGAACATCTATTATGAACCGGGAGGTCATAATAGAGAAAACAGATGTGATACCTGCTGTTATCATGGAGCCTACTTTCCTAGTAGGGCTGGCGGACCCTAAAGAGAAAACCTACCAATGAAGTGGAGAAATTTCAGAGGCGGTGCTAAGTGCTTTGCAGGAAATAAAACAGAGTGGAGGTGAGAAGGAAGTAAAGTAGCGGCAGGGAGCTACTTTAAACAATGTGATCAGACAAGGGCTTTGTGGGGTGGTGACATCTGAGTGGAGACCTGAGGACAGGAGTCATTTCAGGGCTGGAGGAAGGGGAAATGAGAGGCTGGAGTTCGCAAGAACAAGCTCAGGTTGTTTGGAGAGCAGACAGAAGGACCAGTGTGGCAGGAATTGGGGGGAGCTGGAGGGAGTGGTAGGAAGGGAAATTAAAGAGGGCCCTTGAAGACTAGGGGAGGAGCTTGGCTTTTATTCTAAGGGCAGTGAGAAACCACTGGAGGGTTTTAAACAGAAGTGTAGTACCAGGGACTTAATGTTCACTGTTATTATTACTTATTGTTGAGTTATTGAATCAGGGTGGGATGTGATTACTATATACTTGGGTCTCTTGGAGGGTGTGGGCACTAGTAAAAAGTGAGGGACAGGGGTGCCTGGGTAGCTCAGTTGTTAGGCGTCTGCCTTCAGCTCAGGTCGTGATCCCAGGGTCCTGGGATTGAGCCCCACATTCCCTGGGAAACCTGCTTCTCCCTCTCCCACTCTCCCTGCCTGTGTTCCCTCTCTTGCTATGTCTCTTTCTGTCAAATAAATAAACAAAATCTTAAAAAAGAAAAAGTGAGGGGCAGGGGATCAGGTGTCTGGGGTCCTGATAGGGAATTGGGAGCTGGAGGACTGAAATCCTAAGTTCTTGCAAGGGAAGGAAACTAGACTATTGGATGTGGTTATTTCAATGGGGCCAGAGCTAGGGCGCAGGAGAGTGGTTGGTCCTCTCAGCTCCCTGAATGGGTGAGGGATGGGCAGTTCAGTGACTAGGCAGGTACTCAGGGGACCCAGAAGTTGGGGACCAGTACAGCAGTCTACAGGAGCACATGGGCTGGATTCAAATCCAAGCTGCTGTACTCATTCTCTGTGATTTTGGACAAGTTACTAATAACCTCTCTATGCCTCAGTTTATCTGTAAAATAAGGATAATCATAGTATATCTGTCATAAGGTAGTTCTAAGCATGTGCAGCACATAGTATGTGATTGTTCTACTCAGCATTGGGGCCCTGAGTGGATTTAGTACTGGGGAACTCTAGTTCATAGTCTCTAGGATTTGAGGTAGGGGAAAATTCTTGGGTCCACTGGACATCAAGGCTAAAGTTAGGAGTGCAGAATTAGGGTCCCTGGAGACAGAGACTGGGGTTCTGAATTCAGAACCCCAAGGCAGTTAGGAAGTCTGGGTCACTGAGGGAAAAATTAGAGGCTGGGGGGGTCATGTGCTCTTCATGGGAGTGTAGGCAAAGGGGACAAGACCTGGCCCTGTTAGGAATCTGGAAACCAGGGGCTGGGGAGATGGAAATGTGAGTGAGGGAGGTGGAAAGCGGGAGGCTAGGACTCTAAATCAAGTTTCCTGAGTGGAATCAGCCCAGATTTAGGTACCTTGGGAATGTAGGGTCGGGGGCGTGGGAGGAGGTCCCTTAAGCTAGGAACCTGTGGAAGGGGGAGAATCAGGGAGCCGGAGGGCGGTAACGGAATCTCCCCCTCCTGGGCCTCCAGAGCTAATAGCCCAGCTGAGCGCCCGCGGGCTGCTTCCTCCCACAGGAAACCGCAGGCTTCAGACACACCCAGCCTGCAGCGAACGGCGCCCACTGCCCGCCAGCTCCGGGGAGGCCCACGTGGGCAGCCGCCTACAGCCCAGGAGGCGTGCCCCGCAGGGCGAGGGGGTGTGGCCACTCGGTGGCGGTACAAAGAGCTCCCGGCCCCGCCCACTTCCGCCTCTCAGTGCGCGGACCCAGCAGGCAAGAGGTTTTTGGCCGCTTCGCAGGAGGCCGTTGGCTGCGCATGCGTAGTGGGTCACTGCAGGGACCTGAGTTGGTGGTGAGCGCTCCCCCCCCTCACAACTCCCGGCGTCCGCACGGTCTTCCTAATGAGAGTCTTCGAAATAACGTGGTCTTAACTTAAGACACATCTCTCGGGCCTCATCCCGAAGGACCTCGGCCCAGCTCCAAAGCCTTCCAGACTTTTTCCCAACCCTGGCTCCATAGGGTCTTTCAGCTCCTTCCTCTCCCTCCCGAAAACACACAGCCTGCCCCTCACAGAGCCCCCCCCCCGCCCACCGATCCCCGTTAGCTCTTTCCAGACCTTCCAGCATCTCCCCAGCAGGCCCCTCAGGTGTCCTTCTAACCACGCCCCTCGTAGGTCTGCGAAGCTCCGGCGTGGGCAGGTACCCGTGTCCCTCCCCTCTGCAGCACCCCCCATAGTCCCACCCCATAGTCACCTCCCATTCTGGGTCCCAGCCCCGCCCTTTACGGATACTGTTCAGGGGTCCATCTCTAGTCCCCCTCAGCCCCTCCTTCCGCAGGTACAGTGCTCCTCCCACCCGAGCCCCGCCCCTTACAGGTCTTCCGTCCCTCAGAAGCGCTGAAGCCCCGCCCCTCGTAGCCCGGCCAGACCCGCCCCTCAGGGCATGCTCGGTCCCTCCCCTCACAGGACCCGCCCTACTCCGCCCCTCGCAAGGCTCACAGCTGCGTCCCCGCAAGTTCTCCCAGCCCCGCCCCTCGCAGAGCTGTCAGCCCCTTCCAGTTCGTCTGTACCACCCGCCCCCCCAAGTCTTCTCAGGTCTTCTGGCTGTCCCGGCCCCTCTTCCCCAGCCTCCCCTCCCACGGCTCCTCCTCCCCATTGGTCCCCCTTCCCCAGCCTCCCCTCCCACGGCTCCTCCTCCCCAGCGGTCCCCCCTCCCCAGTCTCCCTTCCCACGGCTTCTCCTCGAGGCCTCGGTCCCACCCTCAGGCCTCATTGGCCATCTATCTCCCCAGTAACCAGGCCACAACAGTGAACTCGGAGCACCAAGGACAGGGCAGGCACTCCAGCAGGTAGGGACTGGGCCTCGCTCCCCTCAGCCGGCGGAGGTTTTCTCTGTCCGTGTCTCCTTCCACAAACAGCCAAGCCTCAGAGATACCGCGAGCCTAGGGGGCCTGTCCCCCGCGCCAGACTTAGAGTTGAAACACAAGTCAAAAAATGGGAGAAGTGGGAGGTCGGGAGGGGCGTGGAGAGAGGCCTGAGAGGTGACCCCCTCCAACACATTGGAGGCACCGAGACTCAAAGATCGCAGCTGGTTCTGGGGTCACCTTCCAATTCCTAGTCCCTCGCGCTTGGTCCCCACCTTCCTTCCGGCCCTCTCCTGCTTGCTGTCTGAAGGGGTCCTGTGTCACCCCTGCAGGAGCCCCGCCCGCTTTGGCCAAGATGCCTTTGGGACAAACTTTAGGGAGCACCCGCTCGGAGGATGGAAGTGAGGCCTTCCTGGATGGAATGGGTAATTCATACAGTCTTGCTTCCCCCCCCCCCCCCGTTCATTCTTTTCTTCCGTTCCCCAAGTTCCAGGTACTGTACTGCAGCACACTGAGGACAGGGAGACCTTCTAGCCGTGGGAATAGAGGTGGAGCAGGCAGAAAGGCTAGGCCGAGCTTGAGCAGTGGCGCAGTCTGGGAAGACTTCCTGCGGGAGAAGTTGGAGTGGGGCTTGGAACTCTTCCCAGGAATTCCCAATGGGAGCAGGCAGGGAAGACTGTTTCAGCAGAGCCAACGGCATGTGCTAGAACAGGGTTTCTTAGCCTCCACACTGGCGGCACTTGGGATCAGATCATTCTTAGTCATGGGACTGTCCTGGGGAATTGTGGGATGCTTAGCATCGTCCTTGACCTCTAGCCATTACTTGCCACGAGCACCTTCCCCTGCCCCGTCCCCACATCGTGACAATCAAAAATGTCTCCAGACATTCCCAACTCTCTGTGTGGGGCAGAATGACTGGTTGAGAGCCCCTGGGCGGTGGGAGTGGGAAGCTGCTGGACCAGACTCGAGAGGTGGGTAGGGTCAGATCATATGGGGCCTTGAACACCAGGCTGAGGAATTGGGAAATTGTCCTGGGGGCCCTGGAGCTCCTAGGGAGCCCTGTGAGCAGGGGAGGGGCGGTATCAGCTCTGGGTGTAGAAAGACCCGTTGGGGCTGTGAAGGGAGGCCTGGAGGTTGGTGCGGAGGCTGGGGCAATGGTCCAGGCAGGACAGGAGAAAGCCTGAGCCTAGGGCACGGGCTGAAAGTGAGGAAGCAGGAGGGTGGGCCGGAGGACTGCCAGGTGATGGTGGCTGGAGGGGACGGAGGGAGCTAAAATGCTGTCCCCAATTCTTGGCACCTATCTTCAACTTTCCCAAGTTCCAGATCCTCTGTGGCAAGTCCCCAAGGACCAAGAAGTCCACCGGGAGCGCCCTCTAGTGGGGAAGGGAATGTGTGCCAAACCTGGGGCAGGAGTGATGGGAAGAATCCTGAAGTCAACTTGGGGTACTGGAGTGGGAAGGGGGATAGGAGCTGAGGTGCAGTGCCAGAGGGCTGGCCGGGCCTGGGTGTGCACTTCTGCTGCAGTTTGTGGGGACCCTGAGGGAGCCAGAATTTTCTAGGTCCTGGAGAGGAAGGGGCTGGGGCCTCCTGGATGCCTCCTGAGCCCCCTGGCTGGTCCTGCCCTCAGCAGACTGGGAGCTGAGCAGACTACAGCGGCAATGCAAGGTGATGGAGGGGGAGAGGCAGGCCTACAGCAAGGAAGTCCACCAGCGCATCAACAAGCAGCTGTGAGCCCACTGCCTGGTCCTGGAGCTAGGGAGGGGGCTCTACTAGGAGGGGGGTTGGGGCTCCCACTCCTGGCTCCAAGAGGGGGAAGGGCCAGCCCTGCCTCTGGCCTTCAGTGACTCTGAGCTCCGCCCCTTGCTGGCTTGCTCCGCCCTCCCTGCCTGGGCAGTGAGGAGATCCAGCGCCTGGAGGGGTTGCGGGATAAACTTCAGGTGCAGATCAGCGTGGCCCAGAGCCAGGTCAAGCGGCTGCGGGACAGTGAGAGGCTGGAGAACATGGGCCGGCTGCTCAAGTGCCGGGTCCAAGTGCAGGCCGAGGTCAAGGAGCTCCAGGAGCAGACCAGAACCCTGGACAAGCAGGTGGGTTCTGAGACCAGACTCCGGGGATCCCACGTAGGGGCCGGGAAATAACTGCTTTGAGCCTTAAATTCCTCGCCTGCGAAATGGGCTCATGGAGAGCAGCCACGTAGGAGAGTTACATTCAGGCTGTAGTGGGAATCTGGGTGCTTTCTGCTTAGCACGGTCCCCCACATCCCAAACAGGGGGCTGGTGTGGTTAAAGGGGAAAGGTTCACCCCCTGGAGTCAGCAAAGCCTGCATTAGAATCCCGGCCCTGTCCTGTCAGAGCTGTGTGACCAAGGGCAAGACTTTACCTCTCTGGGCCCTACTTTCTTCATGGGCAAAAGGAGGATGCTGGTAATACAGTGGAGTCTACAATAGTTTTCCAGTCCCACCTGCCTCCAGGTCTTGACCTTGGCAACAATGCGACTTCTGTAGGTCAGTGTCCTTTCAGGTTTTTATGACCATGACCTCCCGAGAGGCAGCTCGCACACATGTGGATATAAACACACACGTAGATCTCAAAGAGAAGTTTCACCAGGTAATACCGATGTTTCCTAGGTGGGATGCATTCTGCGATTTTCTATTCTAGTCTTGGTTAAAAGAGTCACTTGCCTAGACCAAAGGATTTCTTGCGCACGTTGGGCCACAAACAAGACTTTGAAGGTTACTTACATTGGTGGTCTGTATCATTTCCTATTTTTGTTGTAACAAATTACTACACACTTGGTGGCTTAAAATATAATACAAACTAGGGGCTCCTGGGGGCCGCAGTCAGTTAAGTGCCTGACTCTTGATTACAGCTCAGGTTGTGATCTCAGGGTCTTGAGATCGAGGAGAGTGAGCCGTGGGTCGGGGTCTGCGCTCGGCACGGAGTCTGCTTGAGATCCTTTCCCTCTCCCTCTCCTAACCCCCCAGTCATGCATGTGCTCTCTCTCTCTCTCTCAGATAAATAAATAAAATCTTACAAATCAGTTATCTTACAGCGGCGGAGGACAGGAGTCCAAAACGGGCTTCCCTTGACCAAAGTCCGGTGTGAGCAGGGCTGTACCCCTTCTGAAGTCTTAGGAGGAGAATGTGTTTTCTGACTTCTCTGGTCTTCATGGCTTGGTTTGCGGCTCCTTGCCTTGTCTGCGAGGCCGGCTGCAGGCAGCTGTCCTTCTCATGTGCGTGGCTCCCACCTCTTCCTTCTCTGATTTGGACTCTCCTGCCCCCTCCTTTCACTCGTGAGGACCTTTGTGATTACCCCAGGCCCACCCAGGTAATTCAGGTAAATCATCTCAAAAATCCTTAACTTTACCACATTTGCAAGGTCCTTTCTGCCATTTGGGTCTGTCTATTCACAAGTTTCCGGGCTTAAGATATGTGGACGTATTGGCTGGGTAGGGGGGCCTCATTCTGTCTACCACATAGTTGGTTTTTTTTTTTTTAAGATTTATTTATTTATTTATTTAGAGTGAGTGAGTGAGTGAGTGGGGGAAGCAGAGGGAGAAGGAGAGAGACTCCCTGCTGAGTGGGGAGTCTGATGTGGGGCTCGATCTCATGACCCTGAGATCACGACCTGAACTGAAACCAAGAGTCAGTCACTTAACCAACTGTGCACCCAGGCGCCCCTACCACGGAGTTTTCTTCCATTTGACTTTCTTTCTTTCTTTTTTTTTTTTTTAAAGATTTTATCTATTTATTTGACAGAGAGAGAGATCACAAGTAGGCAGAGAGGCAGGCAGAGAGAGAGAGAGGAGGGCAAGCAGGCTTCCTGCTGAGCAGAGAGCCTGATGTAGGGCTCGATCCCAGGACCCTGGGATCATGACCTGAGCCGAAGGCAGAGGCTTAACCCACTGAGCCACCCAGGCGCCCCCCATTTGACTTTCAATCAGTTTGTTTGCTCTGCTCTCACGAGCGCCCCGAGCTTCCTTTCGGAAGCTGAATTCTGATTCACACATGCTAAACTAATGGCTGTTTCGTGGAGGTGCAGCGGCTGTGTGGGGGTTGGCTGCTGGGGTTGGTTTTCCTCAGTCTTTTACGGAAACTCATCAGAGTCAGAATTTTATACCCAGGGGCACCTGGGTGGCTATGTAGGTTAAGCATCTGCCTTCAGCTCAGGTCATGATCTCAGGGTCCTGGGATCGAGTCCCAGGTCAGCCTCCCTGCTCAGCGGGGAATCTGTTTCTCCCTCCGACCCTCCCCCTGTTTGTGTTCTCTCTTGCTCTCAAATAAATAAATAAAATCTTTAAGAAAATAGAAAAACAGGTACCCGATGGAAATATTATCTCTGAATGAGAGAGAACAGACATTTTCTGGCAAAAAAAAAAAAATTAGACAACATAGATTTTCACAAACTTTATGTGTTAATGGACCAATGTTTAAAATTTCCAATCTACTACTGACTGCTGCTTTTAGAAGGCTTGTGCCATTTCTGATGCTTGCTTCAATGCTTGCTCTCATTTTCCGAGCCCATCACATCAGAGACTGATGACGGACGGTCCTTGGACTTGCACCCGTTTATAGCATTGGTCTATGTAGAAATAAAAATGTATTTAATAACATTTAGCATTCCTCATACTAAAAACTCTTAGGAAACCAGGAATAAGGGGTGCCTGGGTGGCTCAGTAAAGGCTCAGTAAAGAGGGTCTGCCTTCAGCTTGGGTCATGATCTGGAGTCCTGAGATGGAACCCCGCATGGGGCTCCCTGCTCTGAGGAGAGCCTGCTTCTCCCTCTCCCTCTGCCTGCCTCTCCCCGTTTGTGCTTGCTTGTGCTCTCTGTCAAATAAATAAATAAATAAAATCTTAAAAAAAAAAAAAAGGAAGCCAGAAATAAAAGGACATTTCGTGAATTTGGTGAAGGGCGACTATAAAACATCTACAGAAAATATCGTATTTGATAACAAAACATGACAAAGATTATCTTTGAGATCAGTAACAATATAAGGATGTCAGCTAGCACCACTTGTATGTGACATTGTGCTGGAGGTCCTATCTGGTGCAGTACGGCCAGGTAAAGGGAAAAAACAATGTAAGCATTGGAGAGGAAGAAATGAAATTGTCACTGTTTGTAGATGATGTATTTGTGTACATGGGAGATCCAGAAGAATCTAACACCAACTTATTGTAATTAATAAGGTCTTTTAACAATGTGGCCAGGTACAGAACTAATATGCAAAGTTAATATTGCTCTGTATTAGCAATAACTGTTACAAAATAAAAGAAGAAAATATGCATTTATAATAACCAGAAGAAGTACCTGTGAAGAAATGTAACAAAAGTGTGCAAGACCTCTATGGAGTAAATTGTAATATTTTATTGAGGGCTGGTAAAGAGGAACTTAATAAGTGTAGAGACCTACACAAGGCCTTGAAGAGTTAGTGTTATAAAAAGTCAGATCTCCAAATTGATGTATAGATTCAATGTAATCCCAACCAAAGTACTGAAAGTTTTTTTTTTTTTTTTTAAGGATTTTGTTTATTTATTTGACAGAGAGAGACCACAAGCAGGCAGAGAGGCAGGCTGTTGGGGGGAGGAAGCAAGCACCCCGCTGAGCAGAGAGCCCGGTGTGGGGCTTAATTCCAGGACCTTGAGATCATGACCTGAGCCGAAGGTAGAGGCTTTAACCCACTGAGCCACCCAGGTGCCCCTGAAAGTTTTTTTTTTTTTTTTTTTAATGGATGGAACTGACAAGCAGATTCTAAGGTTTATATGGAAGTGCAATGGATAAGATGACTTAGACTGACTTAAAAGAAGAACAATGTGAAAGGATTTGCTGTATCATTGATCAAGATTTATTATAAAATTCTTACAATTGATGCAGGGTTAACCAAATGGATCAATGGGACAGAAGAGAGTCCTGAAAGAGACCAACGTACATGTGGACACTTGACGTATGACTTCAAGAAATGGCAAAAGAGGATAAGGGTGCTGCGAAAATTAGATATTCATACTGTAAGATGAAACCAGACCCTTACCTCACCTCGTACCCCCAGATTAATTCCAGATGGATTGGAGATCTGAGTGTGCGGAGGTGGGGAAGGATTTCTTAAATAAGTTATAGAAATCTGTACTTCTAAAGGAACAGATTGTTGCTTCGTACGACTTCAAGGTTAATAACTTCTGTTAAAAGAAACATAGTGTGCAAAGTCATGGAATGGAAAGTTACTTGCAACATGTACAGCTGACAAAGGACTAGTAGCAAGAACATACAAGGAACTCCTACAAATTATTGAAGAGTCAGCTCAATTGTATTTATTTTGCTTATTTTTTTTTAAAGATCTTATTTATTTATTAGAAGGAGAGAGAGAACGAGTGGGGGAGGGGCAGAGGGAGAAGCAGATTCCCTGCGAAGCAGCGAGCCTGATGCAGGACTCGACCCCAGACCCTGGGATCATGACCTGAGCTGAAGACAAACGCTTAACTGACTGAGCCATCCACATGCCTGAGTCAGCCGAGTTTTTAAAAATAGAGGATTTGAGCTGACACATCACAAAATAAGAAGTTCATTTGTCCAATAAATGTAGGAATTACTCACCACTCAATAGTAATCAGAGAGGGGCAAATGAAAATCACAGTGAGATTCCATTAAACACTCACCAAATTTGCAAAAATGAGTGTCCCAAAATACCAAGTGTTGGGGAGAGAAGCAGCAAGTGGGAACACCTAACGAACTGTTGTCGGGGGTATATAAATTGTCCCATGTATTTTGAAAAGATCCCCCCATCATCAGTTACATTTACTGATAGACCTACACTGTGATTCGGGGTCGCCCCCACTCAGCATGGTCACCAGAAGCGGTTTTGGGTTCCACCTGACATTCACGTTCACAGGATGCTCTGGGCTACAGAACATGGTACCAGGTTCACTTTGTAGGATGACGGAGGGCAGGAAACAGCAGCATACTGGCATGACGGCATCAAACACACCTTCCTTGGACATCTAGGCACTGCTGCCATGAGGATAGGGTCTAAGTCGAAGCCCCCACGAGGAGCGTACTCAAGAAATACCCTGCAGGGGCGTCTGGGTGGCTCAGTCAGTTGAGCATCTGCATGTTGATCTCAGCTCTTGATTTCAGGGTCATGAGTTCAAGCCCCTCGTTGGGCATGGAGCCTACTTTAAAAAAGAGTAACCCGAAGAGAAACCAGGTTTCTGTTTAGTGCTGGTCATGTTGGCCCTTGAGATCTAGGAGCCCAGCTTGCAGTCCTTCTAGTCCAATGTAGTTGACCAATCAGGGGTCATTTTTATAATAAACACTGTTGCCTGGGAACAGAGCTGGCATTCCATATTTACCTTAACCCAGTATGTTTCCATGGAAACCGTTTCGGAAGAAAGTAAGCCAAAGTCACCTTCGAAGAGAAAACAGGTTTAGATCTGTTGTTAAAGCTCCTTCCCGCCCCACAAGTACACTTCTGAGCATGTGCCCCAGAACCAGGATTCACGTAAAGGAATGTTGAAAGAAGCATTACTCAGTCTAGCCACTCCAAACTGGAAGTAACCCAAATGTCCGACAGAATTTGAATGAATAAATAAATTGTGGTGTATTTGTATCATGAAATAGTATACAGTAATGAAAAATGAATGAATCACACACAGCCACGGGGAAGGAAGCAAGGCATAAAACATACAGGAAGCATAATCTCATTGACATAAAATATAAAATCAGGCCAAACTAAACTTTTGCTTAGGGGTGCATATATGGGTGATAAAACTATAAAGTAAAAAAAAGAAAAAAAAAGAATTTCACTGGAGGAAATATGGTAGACTGAATAATGGTCCCCACCCCCACACAAGATGTCCACACTATAATCTCAGGAACCCGTGAGTATGTTACTTTACATGGCAAAAGAGACTCTGCAGATGTGATTAAGGATTTTGAGATGGGGGGGGGTTACCCTGGATGGTCCAGGTGGACCCCATGTCATCGCAAGGATCCTTAGGGGCGAGGTAGGAATGTCAGAATCAGAGAAGATGGAGAGGGTAGATGTGAGGAAGAGAAGCCAAGGTTGGAGTGACCACAAGCTAAGGAATGCATAAATCAAGGAATCCAGCTTCGAGAAATTGCCTGGAGCTTCCAGAAGGAAGGCAGTGAGTGTGCCACCACCACCCCCCTCCCCTCCCCAAGCGTCTTCCTGGGGACCACACTCAGCGTGTCAGCCTCCAGCTGCTAGTTTTTGCACAATCTCTGAGCATCTGTGTTTTATCTCAGTTTATTTTCTGCATCTGTCAGCAAGGGTTGTCCTAAGGTATCAGAAAAGTCTAAGAGAGGTTATTTTGGGAACCAGGGGAACGCTATACATTTTTTCCATATAAACTAATGGTATATTCCTTCTTCACTTTCTGCCAGTTTGGCTTATGAAGGGTCTCATAGGAATGTTGTAGTTTCAGAGAATGGGGAAACCTGTATTCTCCTCTTGGCTGTAGTGAACATATCCCAGGGTGACCTCCCAGCCCCACCGTGTACTACCCACCCCTTCAGTGGGGGTAGAACCTGTGACTTGCTTCTGGCCAACAAAATACAGTACACTGGGGAGGGGATTGAAGGGAGGGGACGTCACTCCCTTCATTAGGTGTGCTCTATTAGACTGGCCCTGTGTAGACCAAAGACAGGTACTCTCTGGCCGGCCTTGAATGTGCAAGAGGCCATCCCACGGAGAGAGCCACCTGGCAGGGGACCACACAGTGAGTCCCAGATGAGACCGCAGCCCTGAAGGTCTGGGAGACTCTGCGGAAAGGATCCAGCTGAACTGTGCGGGACCCCTGACCCATGGAAACTTCGAGATCATAGATGGGTGTTGTTTTCAGCCACCAAGCTTGGGATAATTTGTTTTGCAGAAAGAGGAAAATGAATACAGTGGTTACTTCCAAGCTACCAACAGTTTAACTCATGTAATTCCTAAAAATGGAACAATCAGCTAGCTTCCAAGAGCTGCCCTGGGGTCCAGTCTTGTTCTGCTAACAGATCTACTTTAAATAAACCAGTGTTTTCATCCTAACAACCTAGAGACCATTTGAAAAAAAGAGAAGACATAAGTAGAAAAAACACACACAAAAAAACCCTGTATTTCATTCTCCAAAGCCACAATTATTTTCCTGTGGGATGTTTGTGCCTCTGGGTCTTGGAGTCAGATCGGACTGACCACTCTTACTCCGTGCTGATTTCTGGGCAGTACTCTCTTTTCTTTCTTTCTTCTTTTTGTAACTGAAAATTTTACTGGGATAATTGCAGTTTCACATGCAACTGGAAAAAGTAATACAGAGAGATTCCTTGTACGCTTGGGCACTTTCTCCCACCGGTCACATTTTTGGGTATTTGGTTTTTTTATCACAGCAACAGCTAAAAAATGCTTGTTCACAAAGATGTGATTCATCGAAAGGGACATAGCGCTGCCTTGTGTTGAACCTGTGAACTGCCTTGAGCCGTAGCTCATGTGGCGTCTGACCATGTTGGTGTGTCTCCCTCCAGACTTAAACATCCTTGTGGTGCAGCCTTTGAGTTGGCAGTGATGCTGTGGGGTGGCGGGGGGCATGTGTTAGTTTTCTAGGGGATGCCGTTACTAAGTACCACAAACTCTGGGTGGCTGAAATGACAGGAATATATTGTCCCACTGTTCTGGAGGCTGGAAGTGTTGGCCGGGTGGCATTCTCCCTGTGTGCATGTCTGTCCAAATCTCCCCTTTGCATAAGGACACTGGTCATATTGGACCAGGGTCCCCACTAAGGACATCATCTTAACTGGATTATCTCTGCAAAGACTCACTCTTTTGGGGTATTGGGGATTCGCACTTAAACAGAAGAATCTGCAGTGGTGGGAGTTTGGGCTGTGGACAGGACATAAACCAACTCCTAAAAGCACACAAATTGGGAAACCCAGTTTTTTTTTTTTTTTTAAGTTGGGTCTACACCCAGCATAGAGCCCGATATGGAGCTTGAACTCAATGACCTTGAGATCAGGACTTGAGCTGAGATCAAGAGTCGGACATGTAACCAACTGAGCCACCCACGTGGAAGACACAGTCTTCAGCAGTTCATGTATTCATTCGATCTGCATGTTTTATTGAGCACCTACTTTGTAGGTTTTTGTTGAAAAACAAAAGTCTGCTCTCGTGGAGCTTCCAGTTTAACTGGAGAGATGCCTGGCCCCAGATATGTAACGATGAACACAGAAATGAGGACGGCTTCGGAGAGGTTTCACCCATAACCAGACCCAGGCATTCTAATGGCGTCGGAGCTCATTCTCACCATCTCTCAGTCTCTTGTCTCCACTTTGTCTACTGGCCTCCTCCTCCCAGGATCCCTCATGTGCTGGGGAATATGAACGTGGAAGTCTCAGAGCCCCATGCATCTAGCTCATTTCCCCCAATATACTGGGAAGGGATTGAGGCTGGCTTAACTTGGGTCAGGCAACCTGTCCCTCTCTAGGGCAAGCACCGTGATTGTCGGGACCTAGGTCATGTGGCTGGCCAGGTGCCTTGTTGTGACTGGAAGCCAGAACCACATGGAAGGTTGGGCATCATTAGCAGAAGGGTAGGACAGATGCCTGGGGCCACAAGGGTGGGAGGGGACAGCTACACTCAGCCCCTCACCCTCTCTTGGCGCCTCAGTCTCTCCACATTCAGCCAACAAGTAGGTATCCTCCTCTTTCCTCCAGATCCAGGAGTGGGAGACCCGGATCTTTGCCCTAGGTAAGGAAGTCAGGGCCCCGGGGGTCATCCTGGATCAGAAAGTCAAGATCCAGCAAAGGATCAAGATTCTAGAAGACCAGTTGGACAGGGTGAGAGTCAGCCTCTTGGCTCTTTCCAGACCTGATCCTCTGGGCGTTGGGGGGGAAACTGAGCAGGGGCAAGTTCCATGGAATTCAAGTTCCAGGAACAATGGGCCAGATTCCAGGAGGGAGGTGGGCCTGAAACACGGGGCTCCCAGAGAAGGATCAGGAGACCTGGTCCTGGGTGGATGGAGGGTTCCCAAGGAAAGGAGAGTGGTGCCGAGGTCCTTAGGGTGGCTGGGCAGCGCTTTCAGCGTCTCCAAAGTGGGAACAGGCTCTGCTTCCGACACTTGTCAGAGCGTGGAAGAGGGAGGCAGACCAGGCCTCAGACTTCTGTACACCCCCACCCCCCACCAGGTCACGTGTCGCTTTGACAACCAGCTGGTGCGGAATGCGGCGCTGCGGGAGGAGCTGGACCTCCTGCGCATTGAGCGGAACCGCTATCTGAACGTGGACCGCAAGCTGCAGAAGGTCAGTGGCCCTAAAACCTGGAACACCTCGGCCCAGCGGGGAGAGAGGAGAGGTTGCAAGGGTCACCTTGCCAACTCCAGCACGGTGGCCTCAAGTGCGGAATCGGTTGGAGTCCTAGGTTTGATGTGGTCCAGGGGGAATGGAGACCTCGAGAAGGTTCCGGGACGCCTCTAACAAAAAAAGCAGCCTCCTTCAGACTTGCAGAAGCCAGAGATGTCATTTTGAATATCACTGGCCAGGGCAATCAATGAGCAAGCAAGACCGTTTACATTCTGTGGGTATCTCCGTAGCCGTTAGTGTCCCTTCCCTTTTTCTTCCACCTTCGCTTCCCTGGAAGGATAGTACAGAGAACTCCAGCCTTCACCAAGACTGATAATTTGCCATATTCTCTCTCTCTCTCTCTCTCTCTCTCTAATTGTTATTTTTACCGAAAAGGATTTGTTATCACGATTGCTGAACTATGGAGAGCACACTGTAGACACTATGCCCCTCAGAACTTCAGCGTGTTTTGGTCCTAAGAATAAGACCATTTTCTTACAGAAACACAGGGCACTTATCCAAGTCAGGAACTCCAATGTTATTACAATTCTACGTAGTCCTTGTTTAAAGTTCTCCAATGGTCCCGATGACGTCCCTTACAGCTAATTTGATTTTCCTGCTCCAGGCTCCCAGCCAGGGTCCCACAATGCATTTGGCTGTCCAAGGCTCTGTTCCCGCTTTGTGGACTTTGACATTTTGGAAGCCCGTTGTGTCGTACAAAGTCCCTCGACATGGGTCTGTCCGATCTTTCTTCACGATGAGATTCGTGTGGTGCGTTTTGGGGGGAATAGCACAGAGGTGATGTTGTGTCCTGGAGGCTCATTAAGTAGGAGGCACGAGATGGCCATTTATCCCTCAGTGATCGAGGTCTACATTGATCCCTGGGTCAGCCATGGTTCTCCAGTGAGTTTTCCCTTCAGTGATCGAGGTCCACGTTGATCCCTGGGTCAGCCGTGGTTCTCCAGTGAGTTTTCCCTTGGTGAGGAGTAAGTGGAGATTCTCGGAGACCACGAAGGTATCTTGCTCCCCGACACATTTCCACTCCATTGCTGGGGCCTCCGATAATGATTCTTGCCCGATGATTATCACTATCATGATGGTTGCCGAATGGGGGTCTTCTTTCCCCACCTCTCTCGTTCCTCCTACGTGTGTAAGAGAGCAGACGTAAGGAAGAGCTTCTCATCCTCCTCTGGGTATTTGTGTGTTATCGGTAAGCATCTGTGGGTTCTTCCTTTACTGCATGGAGGTCATCACGCGTGGTGATGTTCAACTCGTCCCAGATCAGGGAGACAAGTCAGTGGGAGCTAGTAGGGCCCTTCAAGCTGGCTTCTATGTGCTTTTGATGTGCCCCTGGTTGTTGTTATTGTTGTTTTTTCTTTTTTTAAGATTTATTTATTTATTTGAGAGAGAGCAAGCACAAGCAGGGGGAGTGGCAGGCAGAGGGAGAGGGAGAAGCAGGCTCCCTCCTGAGCAAGGAGCCCCACGGAGGACTCAATCCCAGGACCTTGGGATCATGACCTGAGGGGAAGGCAGATGCATAACGACTGAGCCCCCCAGGTGTCCCTGAATACGTGAGACTTTAAGAGGATTTCCCAAGACAAAACTATTCCAAAAGATATTCCAGAGAAACACCATTTCCTTTCCATCTCTTCCACTTTGATCTCTGTGTGTGTGTGTGCTCGTGTGTTCATATATGTGTGTACGTGAACGACTGTGCGTGTACACATTCTATTTGCATATATGTATATTGGATATCTATCTATACACACATACACACATCACATGTGTGTTCAAATATATATATAATTTCCTCCCTTCTTTCTCCCGAAAAGAACATTTTTTACTCATAATACTGCAAAGACATTTCTTTGGAACTAGAAATCAGGTTCGTGTGGTCACCACTGCGAAATTCAAGCACATTTCTGAAGCGGACCACAAAGTTAGGTGGTGCTTTTAGGGTTCCACCGGGAGAAGCCCTCCGAGCCGGCATCCCAGCTCGTCACTTTCCCTGCCCATGTACTTGGTACCTCTTAGGATCCCCGCCCCCACCTGTCGACTGTTAATGGGGAAGGTCCACACACCTGGATGGCAGGAGAGCTGCGGGGCTGAAGGGAGAGCCCTACAGGGAGGAAGCTGTAGGAAGGACATTGGTTTTGTTCTCTCGCAGGAAATCGAGCTTCTGCGACACATGGTCAGCTCCCTAATGGTCTCCTCTGCGGCTGCCTACACCGTCAGGTAGGGGACCCCCCACCCCGCCCCCTGCGCCCCCAAGGCCTCCAGGGAGCTCATGCACTACGAACCTTGCCCTAAGGCTTTGGCGGGAGGGGTCAGAACTCCAGGAACAGACTGTCACAACCTGTTATTTTTTATAAGGTGCCCCTTTCCCCCCTCCACTGACATCCCAGGTCCTCGGGCAACACTTGTTGGCTGTGTGGACCCACTTCTTTGGGCCTCTTCCTTCCCTTCCCTTCCCTCCCCGCCCTCCCTCCCTTCCTATCTTTCTTTCTTTCTCTTTCACTCCCTCCCTCCCTTCCTTTCCTTCCTTCCTTTTTTGCTAAGATGCACATAACAAAATTCACCATGTTAAAATGTACAGCTCAGTGGCCTCTAAGACACTCGCTTCTATCTGGGTCCAAAACGCTCTCATCACCCCAAAAGGAAGCTGGTACCCAATAGGCAGTCACTCTGTCTTCCCCAGTTCCCTGGAAACCACTGGTTTCCTTCCTGTGTCTACTGACTTCCTGGTTCCAGGCATCCCGCAGCAGCGGGACCGTACAGCATATAACTTGGTGTCCGGCTTCCTTCACTGAACGTAACGCTTTCAGAGTTCACCCATGTTGTAGCCCGGATCAGTCCTTCCTTCCTTCCTTCTTGTGGCTGATGCTGCAGTTTCTTGTCTTTGGTCCACCGTGACCCTGTCAGAGCCCCAACTCCATCTGGTGGCTTCTGCTCACGCTGGGCTTTGGCTTCATCTGAACTTGACCTTCAGAATGTGACCTTCTCTGGCTTCTCTCCTCGTGTCCTTCTAGCAGCAGCTCCCTGCTCTTCCATTCTTAGCCCTTCCCAACTCAGCTTCGGAGAGAGAGAATCTTAGTCGGCTGGCTCCTCTCTTCTGCCAGGTGCCACCCATGGTGGCCTGTCTGTGTGGTGAGAGCCTCGACCACTGCTCCTCCAGCCGATGGGGGGTGGGTGCTGGGTACCAGGACAGGGTGGTCTCAACCAGAAGGCAGGGCTAGGCAGCATCTCCAGCACCTCCTTGTCGGACCAGAGCAGGTCACATCCCCTCTCTGAGCCGGTTTCCTCCACTGTGACATGACCGTAATGACGGCACGGCCTGGCTTTCAGGAAGTCGGGGCCCCTCTTCCCTGCCCCTTGGTTTGGCATGGAGCCCAGGGCACAGAAAGAACTGTGAGTCCTAATCCCTGAAGGACCACCAGCACCTGGAGAGGTCACTGGAGCCAAGGCTGGTGGGTGCCAGGGGAGGTGTCCCACTGAGGAGGAGGAGGACGGGCTGATGTGTGTAGGTCTTAAAAAGGAATTTGACCGGAACAAGAAGGTGGAGCTCTGGGTGGAGGCAAGGGTGTGAGGGTGGGAACTAGAATGGTCCATGGGCAGGGACATGAGGACATTGGCCGGCTGCGCTCCCAACAAAATGACCCTCTGACTGTGATCCTGTGTCCTGGGAAGTAGGTTTGGGACTCAGGATTTATAGGGAGCCGCCCTGTGTTCAAAAGCTTAAAGGCCACATTTTCCCACGGGCAGGTCAGAAGGGGCTCAGTGACTGAAGCTTCTAGAGTCCCCATACCCAACCGCGCTGGTGATGTCATCCACCTGCCCAACATGAGGCCCCGAATGGTCCAGGCCCCTTATATTTCCAACCACATGACCCCCAAACTCCAGCATCATTACCTTCTCTCTTGGGTCCACCCCCGCTCCCAGCCGAGTATGACCTCTGACTGTGCCCTCCTCGCTGTCCCGCCTCCTGTTCCTGGGCCCACCATTGGCCCCCAGTGCACTGCAGCAGTGTCCCATCAGTCCCTTCCACGGCCCAGCACACCTCCCAGACCCCCATTCCACCTCTCCGCCCCTCCCCCGCCTGCAACCTGACACCCCTCTGGGAACCCAGAAAGTTTTCTGCCTTTTGTGACCTCGGGGAAACTGCAACCTGATTCTGCCCGCGCCCTGGGACTGATCCCAGGCTGACCCGGATCCCCCCGTCTCCCCGACCCCGGGGCTCACTCACCCCCACCTCCCACCCCCACCGGCAGAGAGGAGGCCAAGAGCAAGATGGACCTGCTGCGGGAGAGGGCGGAGAAGGAGGTGGCCCAGAAAGACGCGGAGGTGCAGACCCTGCAGCGGCAGATCGCGCACCTGGAGCAGCTGCACCGCTTCCTCAAGCTCAAGAACAGCGATCGGATGCCGGACCCCGCGGTCGTGGAGAAGCGCGAGAAGCGCGGTGAGGCCCCGGCCGCCCGCCCCAAGGGCTCGGGATCTCCCCCGGGCGGAGCGGGCGGGGCGCGCGCGGCCTTAGCTCAGCAACCCCCCAGACCCCGCTGCGCCCCCCTGGCCGCCGCGGGTGCGGGTCTCAGCACCCCTCCCTCCCTCCAGCCCGGGAGGTGGCCGAGGGCCTCCGGAAGACCTCCCAGGAGAAGCTGGTGATGCGCTGCGAGGACGCCATGAACAAACTGTCCCAGCTGACGGGGGAGAGCGACCCGGACCTGCTGGTGGAGAAGTACCTGGAGAGTGAGTGCGGGCCGCGCCGGCGGGGCGGAGGGAGGGGACCCCGGTGCGGGACCCCTGCCCCCCTCCCCCCGCCCCCACCGATCAGGCGCAGGCTGAGCTCCGTCATGGTCACAGAGGGCCTCCGCTTGGGCCCTGGGGACTCGGCACCTGCACTGGAGACTCGGGGCGTCAGGTGCGCCCACCTTGCCCCTCTCCGCCGGCCCTGCCTCTGCCCCTCTACCCCTCTCCCCAGTCTCTCTCCCTCCCCGTCTCGGGCCTTCTGAGCCCTTCCTTTTGTGTGCGTCTCCCCATGGCCTGCATCTCTCAGTCCCCTCCGTGTGTCTTTAGGTCCGTTTGTTTCTGGGTGCGTCTGTCTCCCCCATACCCCCCTCCCCATTCCGGGCCTCCCGGTCTCTCTCCACATCTTCCCTCAGCCTCTGTGTTTCTCCCTCCAGGCGCTTGTTGCTGTCCTCTCCCGGGTCCTGGGCTCTCTCCCTACCTCTGCTGTTTTCTCTCCCTCTCCTTCTCTTCCTCCGTGTCTTTGCGCCTCTCAGTGTTTCTGGGTCTCTCTTGATTTTGCCGTCGTCGCTTTCTCTTACTCTGACTTGCTCCGGTTTCCTCTGTGTCCCCTCTGGTTTCCTGGGCCTCTACCTCCCCGTCTCCGTCTCTCTTTGTCTCTGCGTGCTGGTGTCTGTGTCGTCTTTCTCAACATCTCTCTCCCCCTGTCCTGTGCGTCCCTCCGGACCCGCCTCTCTCCAGTGGAGGAGCGCAACTTCGCCGAGTTCACCTTCATCAACGAGCAGAACTCACGGCTGGAGCATCTGCAGGAGGAGATCAACGAGGTGAGTGAAGGCCCCCTCCACCCTCCGCTCCTCCTCCCCCATCTCCTCCGCGCCTCTGGGAGCGGCCCCCCCTGGCAATGGGCACCTGCCCCACCTGGCAGATGCAGAAGGCCTTGGCGAGCACGCGCGCCAGCGAGGATCTCGTGCGGGCACAGCAAGAGCAGGAGAGGAAGGACTTGGAGCAGCGCGTGGACGAGGTGCACGCGGAGGCCCTGGGCGTGGAGGCCAACTTCCAGGATGTGCGGGGGCGGCTGGAGAAGCTCAAGGCGGGTGAGCGCCTGGCCCAGCTTTTTCCTGTGGGAGGATGTGATGAGCCCCCCCGGAGGGCCCAGCCCACGGCCGGCCTCGGGGGAGGTGTTCCACAGCGTTTCTGTGTGCTGGCTTGTCTGTCCATCCCAGATCCTTCCTGCCGTCCATCCTGCCGTTCTCCCAGAGTCCGGCTGCCCTGGGTTTGCAGCCAGCTCCATCATTTGGGAAGCTTGGTGTGTGGTTTCCCCGGCTGAACCCCCCCTGGCAACAGGATGGCAGATGACAACTTGGGGGGTTGTCCTGAGAAGTGCGTGGGTTCACCACTGGGAAGCTGAGAAGGTGGCTGGGGAGCCAGCCTGTGGTCACAGTAGGGGCTCTCATACCGGAAGAGCCTCTTTTTCTCTGTCCTGACCATGACTGTAAGGGCTGCAGGGAGCCTGGTGCATAGTGAGAAGGGCCCCGAGGGCAGGACTGGGAAGGACACCAGCAGGGCAGCTGGGTACTCACAACCATCCCAGGGCCTAGGACAGCAGCGTGGGAGCCTCAAGGCTGCCAGGATTGGCTGGGCCCGGGACAGAGTGAAAAGGTAGGGCCCTTTGTTAAACAAGAGAGTGGAGCCCCAAGCCCAAGGTGGGGCCCTTATGAATGTGGGCGCCCTGAGCCATCGCATCACCTGCTGCTGGGTGAAGGGCTCTGCCGGGGTGGCTGTGGGCTTCCTGGAAGCGGTGATGCTTGAGGCTGATTCTTTTTTTTTTTTTTTTAAGATTATTTATTTATTTATTTGACAGAGAGAGAGAGAGAGAGAGACATCATAAGTAGGCAGAGAGGCAGGCAGAGAGAGAGGGAGAAGTAGGATCCCTGCTGAGCAGAGAGCCCAAAGCAGGACTTGATCCCAGGACCCTGGGATCATGACCTGAGCCGAAGGCAGAGGCTTAACCCACTGAGCCACCCAGACGCCCAAGGCTGATTCTGAAGGATGAGGATTTCACTGAAAAGTTGGGGGTCGGGGGTGGTCCCAGCAGGTGGGGCCAAGGCCTGGAGATACGTGTAGGAGTGTAGGCTATTTGTGTGGAGAAGGGGTGCAAGGGTGGGATTGGGAGGGGGAGGGTGGCAGATTCTGAAGAGGTGCTGGGCTGGGGCACTAGGGAGCCATGGGAGGGCTGTGAGCAGGAGAGGCCATGGACAGGGGTGTTGGAAGAGGAGGAAAATGGAGAGGAGGGATGGGACGCAGCAGTATCAGACAGATGGGCAGTGACTGAGGGGGTCGCACAGGGTCTGGCCTGGGAGGGGTACTTGGGAGAAGAAGTGGGTTTGGGGATGCCCCTGAGCCCAACGTGACCATTGTTGGGGGATGTTCAGGGAGGGATCCCAGGGGGAAGCTACATAGGAGTTGGGAGCTTAGGGGGAGGCAGCTCGGGGGGCAAGTGGTGGGGACGCGGTGCCGTGGGCTGCAGATCTGTGTCAAGGTCACGGGTGCTTTCTAATGTCATTAACAGTAGCCAGTTCACCTGAAAGAGTAACTAGATACAAGTGGGCCATGCTCAGGCCAACTGTGAGAGCCAGGGGTGGGTCATGACAGTGGCCAATGGGCCAGCCAAGGGTCACGGCTAATCAGTCAGGTGCAAGTGGGGGCCAGTATTGAAAAAAACAAAGAAGGCAGCCTTGGTGGTGCGTGGCTGGCCTCCGACCTCTCCCGTAGAGCACCCACGGAGCGCCTCTCTGGGGTCGCTGGGTGGGATGGAAGTCGGGTGTTTCTGATGGAGCTGTGTGAAGGAGGCCTTGAGACTAACTGAACAAAGTGAGATAAAAAAGCAAAAAGAAGAAGAAGGCAGCCTAGAGAGCTGGCAGTGCTTTTGTCAGCTTTTCCGCTGACCTCCCTCGATTTCTGCCTTCTGTGGTTCTGAGCCCCGTGGCCAGGCCCCGGCCACGCTCTCCTGCTGCCTGGCTGGCTGATGGGTAGCGGAGACTGGAGGACCAGAGAGGACGGGACCCCCCAGGGGCTAGCAAGTCTGTGATAGCCTGTCCCCTCCCCCCACAACCTCAGACCTCCAGCAGCTCTTCACCAGGGCCAAGTGTGACAACACCGTCATCGAAGACCTCCTGGGGGTCAAGACCCACATGCGAGACCGGGACATTGGCCTCTTCCTGGGCCTCATCGAGAAGCGGCTGGTCGAGCTCCTGTCCGTGCAGGCCTACCTAGATTTTCAGGTGGAGAGGCAGGAGGTCCCGGGGGGATGGGGGGCGGGGACAGGAAGCCCAAATCTTGGAAGCTGGGGGCTTGGGGATGAGCTGACCAAGGGTTTATCCGACTTCTAGAGCTACAGCTCCCCCAGCTTGGTTAGCACCGCCCTCCTGGTTCTGGGCCAGAGCCCTGAGGACCTCCCGAAGAGGATGGCCGCACCCCAGCTCCCTGACAACCAGTGAGGCATGGGGCAGGAAGGAGGGCAGCGGAATTCGGTCCCATGGGGGCCGAGGGGACAAAGAATGAGGTGGAAGTTTTGGGGATGTGGCTCTTGGGTACCAGAGGGTGAGTGTCGGTGCTCTGGAGTCACCCGAAGGAGTTGGGGCCCCAGGTAGACCAGAAAGGCCAAAGGCCGCTGTGCCGGCCAGAGCGCGGCTAACGGTTTCCGTCCATAGCAATGAGGAGCTCTCGGCCTTTTGTGGCTATGAGTGTCCTCCCTTCCCGCCTTCCCCCCACTTTAGGGAGGACACCCCAGGCTTTGAGGCCAAAGAGGACGCCCCAATGAGCAAGGAAGAGCTGCGGAACCAAGTGACAAAGCTGGTGAGGATGGGGGCTTGCCGGGCTCGGGGCCGGACCTCAGCCCCCTTCCGGGGACGCTGACTCGCCTCCCCCGCAGCTGGAGGCGCGGGAGCTGGCGCGGGAGCAGCAGCTGAAGGAGCTGGCGGGCGCCGTGCGAAAGGTCGAGAGCGCACCCAGCGTACCCAGCCTCTCGGGCACCCAGCAGGTCTCCTCGGGCTCACCCGTGGGGATCGCCAAGAGCCCCAGCATCATGCCCAGCTCCATCCTGAGCCAGAGGACTAGTGGCATCCTGGCGTCCAGTGGGGGCCGTGCCACCGGCTCCAATGTCGGCCGGGTCACCTTTGGTGACCCCAGCTCCAGTATAGGCCATGTGACCTTTGCTTCCACCAGCGCCATGGGGGTTCCGCTCTCTAGCCGGGGCTCGACGGGGGGCCATGTGACCTTCAGGACCTCCAGCTCTAGTAACTACCTGGGGTCCACTGGGTACAGGGTGTCCAGCGGTGTCCATGAGAGCCACGTGGGCACGGAGAGCAGAAGCATGGGGTCGGAATTGAGTGGAGCCCTCGGGTCCAGCAGAGGCCAAGTCTCCAGCCCCCGCCACACTTCCAGCACCCGCTGGGGCTCCACCACCAGCAAAGATTAGGGCGCCCCCCCCCCCCCCCCGGCCCCGGGGCTCGAACTCCCTGCCTCCAGATTTCCCCATGACTCTCCATGTCTCTCTTGCCCTGCGGCTGTCTGCACCTGCCCAACACTGTGTCCCCATCTGTGTCTCTCCACGCCTCACCACGTGAGACCTCAGCTCTGTCTCCTGGCCCCTTTCGGTTCCCAACCCGCCTTTCCCTTCCTGTCTCCCAATTTCCTGTTCTCCCAGCTTCCCGTTAAGAGTATCTCTGTCCTGGGTTCGCCTCTCCCCAGCTCTGCTCTAGCCTCCCCAGCTGTCCTCCCTTGCACCTCACCTCCTCTTTCTGCTCCCGCACCTCTAATCCCCGCTCCTGTGTCTGTCTTCCAGGCTCTCCTTGTACCTCTTGTCCCTGTCTCTGTAGCTCCTCTTTCCTCACCCTCCCTGGGAGCCCCCGGTACTGAGCATCCGGGCAAGAACTGGAGGGTCAGAGTGAGCTGTGACCATAGGAAATAAAGGTCAGAGCCTGACTTTGACTCCAGCCTGGTTACAAGTGTGTGTGTGAGCAACTTGAGACTTAGCAGTTTCCTCTACCTCCAGCCCGGAAATTTATGACCTTGTCCCTATTCCCATTCATTCATTCATTCATGCACTCATTTAATATTCATTTATTCATTTTAGAGAGACAGAGAGAGAGCGTGAGTTGGGGGAGGGACAGAGAATCTTCAAGCAGACTCCCTGCTGCACGGGGAGCCGGACGCAGGGCTGGATCCCACGACCCACGAGACCATGATCTGAGCCGAAACGGAGAGTCAGATGCTCAACCGACTGAGCCACCCAGGCTCCCTCCTGCCCCTCCCACCCCCTTTTTTGAGACTGTCACATTTCAGGCTCTAATGAAGACTAGGATGTATCAGTCAGGATAGGCTGGGTTATGCTGTAGTAACAAACAAGCCCAGGATCTCAGTGGCCTCATGCAGCAATGGCTTATTACTTGCCAGAGTTACTGGTCTTTTGTGGGTCACCTCAGGGCTCTGCCCCACATCCTTTTTGTGACCCAGGCCGAGGGAACAGCATCTCTCCGGAGCGTTGCTGGTTCTAAGGCACTGGGAAGAGGAAGTGGCAAAGCCTCAGGGACTTACAGCTTCTGCCTGGATACGAAACGTGTCACTTGTGCTCGCATCTTTTGGCCCAAGCAGGTCATTGGACGATGTGTAACTTCAAAGAGGAGGGATGGTGGGAAGTACAGTCTGTCTGTTGCCTGGAAGGAGAGTGGGAAAAGAATATTTGAGGATCTCCCTAACACTAGGGTCACAGAGATAAAGCAGACTATCCTCTTTCTGCTGTAGGGTGGTTTGAGAGGGAGGGGGATTAGAACACCGTGGGTCACTCTTATCCATGGAGACCTGTCCTGCTGAATTCCCTGTCTAAATTTAATCTGACCAAATCCAGACAATCCATCAACACCCTCCCAATCAAGGAAGGTAATACTCTGCGCCTCACTCTCCTTAAAATAGGTTGATGGTAGCACACGCCTCAAAGGTTTGTTGTGCGAAGAAATGAGTTGGTACATGGAAAGCTTTAGCAAAAGTGGGGTTTTCCTGAATTAGTGTATGTTAATCCCCGTCTTTAGATTTATTTACTTTTTTAAGGTTCAAGCCAGTGAGGTCTAGCACTGTCCCATTTTCGCTCCTTTGCTAGATCACAGAGGTTTTTTTTTTTTTTTAAGATTTTATTTATCTACTTGACAGAGAGAGAGAGATCACAAGCAGGCAGAGAGAGAGGGGGAAGCAGGCTCCCTGCTGAGCAGAGAGCCCAATGTGGGGCTTGATCCCGGGACCTTGAGACCATGACCTGAGCCAAAGGCAGAGGCTTAACCCACTGAGCCACCCAGGTGCCCCCGATCACAGAGGTTTTAAGGACCTTTTCGCTGCAGGGGGTTTTCTCGGACCTCGGTCCGGAGCTAGAAAAGAAGGTGTGGATTCCCACTTTACATGAAGCTCTAAATGCCCTCCACATGGGTGGGGAGTCGGGGGTAATGTTGGGGCGCATCTGAGTTTGGCCTTGGCTTCAGTAACCATCCAAAATGTGCCAATTAATGTTGGCTTTGACCTTGCCTCTGGAAACATGAATTACCACCTACCTATTTCAGTGCAATAGCCCTGAACTTGTGGGTGTTTAGTGATGTTGCAATCACATAGGTTACACACACACACACACACACACACACACACACACACACACACACATCGCAGGGTCAGTTACAGGAGCAAAACGTTTTAATCGGACTTTCTAACTTTTGCGCGTGCACTTTCCAATATGGGTAATCCGAATGACAAGTTGTGTGTTCTCTACCGGTGAAATTCTATCAGTGCACAGAAGCATTAAGGTATATTTTCACCGCAAGACTAAGAGGCCGGTGGTACCCGTCATTCTTTTATTGCTCAAGTGGCGAATTCTCGGTGCAGAATTTTAGGTACGAAATTTATGAAGAAATTCCTAACCGAAGCACAAACATTTGAACGGTAAGGGAGTATGTTTGTCATACGACTCTAGGAAGGATATTACTTCCTTTTTGAATCAATAAACGGTTTAGTAAAATTTAAAAGACTAGGAGGGGTGCTTGGCTGGCTCCTTCGGAAGAGCACGCCATTGTTAATCTCAGGGTGGTGAGCTCAAGCCCCACACTGGGCATGGAGCCTATTTTAAAAAAAAAAAGGTAAATGAGAATAGGAGGAAGAATAACAAATTATATTCTCTCTTAATTCAAATCTTTGTAGAGTATTTTGGTGTACCTTTCAGACTTTTAAAAGAAAATTCCTGTTTCGGAATTAAGCTTCCCAGTGAGCCTGTGTGTGTCTGGCCAGCCAGCAGGGGTCGCCACCTTCCAGGCTCAGCCATTCCCGATGTTAGTTCGTACTTCTGGTCCGGGGACCATTTAATTCCACGTGGGCTCACTAGTTTTATTTGTAAAATAATCCATCAGAGCCATGGGATTTTAATTTCCCGTCATGCATATGGGAAAAGAGGAAAAAGCTATAGACTTCCTGATCTGATGAGAAAGCTTACTTGTATTTGTAGAGTCTACACGCAGGAAGTCAGCGAGGCAGCAGTCTGTGTGGCCTTGGACAGGTGTCTTCACCTCTGAGCCTAGTTTATCTTGAAATGTGAGCTGGCGACCGCACAAGGTGGTGGACTAATACCGCTAGGGGGCGGTCTGGGTGCTTAGCCCTTTCTCCATCGTAATCTTTTGTCAGCGGAAAAAAACTAAACCTGAAGACGGGGCGCCTGGGTGGCTCAGTGGGTTAAAGCCTCTGCCTTCGGCTCGGGTCAGGATCCCAGGATCCTGGGATCGAGCCCCGCATCGGGCTTTCTGCTCAGCAGGGAGCCTGTTTCGCTCTCTCTCTGCCTGCCTCTCTGCCTATCTCTGTCAAATAAATAAATAAAATCTTAAAAAAAAAAATCATACCGTTATTTCCTGAAGCTATGTTAATGTGGAATGATTTCTTACTGTGCATCACGGTCAGAAAAGTCTGGAAGCCACAGGGATACGGGCACCAGCCTCGCACTGATTTCCAGACCCCCGCCGGATGCACTGGCGAGAGCATCTCCCTTTCAAGAAGCGATCCCACCTCGCCCGGAACAAACCTTCCCGGTCTCCTCGCGGCGCTGTGCTGGCGGGACTCGGCCGCCAGGTGGCGCGCGTGCCCCGCCGTGAGCGGGTTCTGTTCCGTCCCACCGTCCAGGCCCGGGTTTCCCCTTGGTCTCGCATCGCCCCGAGGGTCCAGTTTGCCGGGGCTGGAGACCCTGGCCAGGAGTTCAGCTCCCCGAGCAGAGAGCGGCAGGAGGGCTCGGGGGGTCAGGAAGGGATGCGGCCACCATGAGCCCTACATCTCCCTTCGTTCTGCAATGATCATCCATACCTCCCGCTGTGCGCTGGACAAGTCGCAACTCCCAGAGTTTGCGCCCAGGTGGGGAGGACAGACGAGAACCCACAGTCACGACCCCGCCAGGAGGGGACGCCTCCCCACCTAGGGCTTAGAGACCGGTGTGGTGCGGGACAGCCGGGGGTGGAATCCCATCGCACCCCTAGATGGCTGTGTGACCTTGGGCAGCTTGCTTAGCCTCTCTGTGCCTATTTTCTCTGCTATGGAACGGAAAATAGTGCCCATGGCACAGCGCTGTCGTGGGCATGAAAGTAGTTAATATTTGTAAAGCACTTAGAAGGGGCTTGGCATGTTTTTTAAACCAACTGTTACAAATTCCCATGTTGCACCTGTAGGAAGGCATGGGGCATCGGAAGGAGTCCCAAAGCCTCATTCATCCCTCCCTGCCCGCCACTCCTTGGAGTGGAGTCCAGGGATCCTGACTCGCAGGCAGAGTCCTTCTCCTCTACAAGGCGCTCCCTGGTCATGGTCTGGGCAGATGGGGAGGGGGGCCTAAATGCACCCAGATTCGTGGACAAAACAGTGAGTTGAAAAGGCAGATGGTGGGGCTGCACGGAGCAGGCCAAGCACGACAGTCCTCTCCCCAACAGGCTGGGTCCCCTGACGCCAGCTCCTCCCCAAACCCCCAAAGCTGAACTTAGCAGAGCTTTTGGGCGTCAGGCAGCTGTGGATACCCAAGACCTGTGATGTCTTTTACCCTCCTTCCCCTTTTCCTGCTTTTAGGGGTTCATTCAGGCATAATTTACCGGCTGGAGAAGTCATCCACTGTGAATATTCAGTGATTTTTCACAAACTTAGAGAGTTGTGCAATTGTCACCACAGTCCAGTGTTAGATTTTTTCCACCATCCCTAAAGGTTCCATCTTGGCTGCCTGCAGTGAAGTTCCTGTCCCACCTACAACCCCAGGCAACCACTGATCTGCCCTCTTGTCTCTCGATTGGCTTCTTCTGGAAATTCCATATAAAGGAATCATACAATACTGTCCAGTCTAAAATACTTTTTTTTTTTTTTTTTTAAAGTAGGCTCCACGCCAAGCCTGGAGCCCAATGCTGGGCTTGAACTCATGACCCTGAAATC